CCAAGCCTCACTGAAGGCCTCAGGGCAGTTGGCATGGCAGCAGAGCACTGTCCAGGCCCTGGCAAAGCCGGGCAACAGCCCCAGTGCTCTGTGTAGGGCATCAGGGGTCCAACTGGGACCTAGCAAAGCCTGGCAAAAACCCCAGGACACCTGGAAGAGGGGTAGGGACCTGTCTAGGCCCTGGCAAAGCCCAATAGAAGCCCCAGCTCTCTCTGTTGGGCATCAGGGCACAACCTGGGCTCCAGCAAAGCCTAGCTGGGGTGGGTTGACCTAGGCTGCCTGTCAGGTCCCCACCAAACCGCTCTATCACTCCCCCTCCTCAGCTGGACATGGGGACAAAATACAGCCAAAGACTCTCAGGTTGAGATACGGATAAGGAGATCACTCAGCAATTACCATCATGGGAAAAACAGACTCCACTTGGGGAAATTAGTTAAATTTATCACCAATCAAATCGGACTATGATAACGAGAAGCAAACCCAAATCTTACAACACCTTCCCCCACCCCTCCCTTCTTCCCAGGCTCAGCTTCACTCCTGACTTCTCCAACTCCTTCCCCCGAGCATCACACAGGAACGGGGAACGGGGGCTGCAGACAGTTCATCACATGTTGGCTCTGCTGCTCCTTCCTCCTCACGCTTTGCCCCTGCTCCAGTGTGGGGTACCCCCTCACGGGAGACAGTTCTCCACAAGTGTCTCCAGTGTGGGTCCTTCCCAGTGCTTCACAAACGGCTCCAGCGTGGGTGCTTCCCATGGGTACAGTCTTTCAGGAACAGGCTGCTGCAGCACATCCCTGATGGAGCCACAGGTCCTGCCACAAAATCTGCTCCAGTGTGGGCTCCTCTCCATGGGGCCACAGGTCCTGCCAGGAGCCTGCTCCAGTGCGGGCTCGTCACCGGGAAACAACTTCCTTAGGGCACGTCCACCTGCTCCTGCGTGGGGTCTCCATGGGCTGCAAGTGGGGATCTGCTCCACAGTGGCCTCCATAACTGCAGGGACAGCATGCCTAAACACGGGTTCCTCCATGGCTGCAGGTACAGCCCGCCTCACGATGGGCTACTCCATGGCTGAAGACACAGCCTGCCTCTCCACGGTCTGCCCCATGGCTGCAGGGACAGCCTGCCTCACCATGGGCTGCTGCACGGGCTGCAGGGCAAAAAGCTCTGCTTTGGCGCCCGGAGCACATCCTGCCCTCCTTCTGCACCGACTGTGGGCTCTGCACAGTTCTTTCACGTGTTCTCACTACTCTCTCCCAGCTGCTGTTACACAGCAGTTCTTACCCTTTCCTAAATGCATTCTCACATCCGTGCGTTCTCACATCTCAGATTGTCTCAGCTTTGGCCAGTGGTAGGTCTGTCTTGGAGCCATCTGCAACCGGCTCCGTCTGACATGGCGGGGGCAGCTCCTGGCATCTCACAGAAGCCAGTCCTGCAGCCCTCCCGGACACCAGAACCTTGCCACACAAACCCAACACAGCAGCCAAAGCCCCGGGGCACTCTGCAGACAAGCCGGGCTCCTTCTGCATCTCGGCAAACCTGGAGAAGTCCCTGGGGCTCTGTGGAGGGCAGCAGGTCACTGCCCAGGCCCTGGGACAGGCTGGGGACAGCGCTGGGGTAGTCTTTATGGACTTGGCTCCAGCAAGGCCTGCTGAAGGGCCCAGGGCTCCGTGGAGGGCAGTGGGGCCCTGACCAGTCATAAGAGTAAGGGCCAAAATATTCTGCAATTGCCCTTTAAAACCAATAAATCTGGCATAACAGGACCCCCCTGACTGACAGGACTGAGACCCACAATGGAGATGTTCTTGAGGCCTCCTAGGAGAAACAGTACTTATGACAGGCCAGTTCGGCACGCTCCTCCCACCCGCCTCACAGAAACCACGGAATAATCAAGAAAGGGATTGCACCGACGGCCTGGATGTTGGGAACGTGCTAGATAAAACTGTCCCACCTGCTCCTCCAGCCCCACTATCAGGCGACTAATGGAGGAACTACCAGCCCCCAGCCCAGGGTGATCCCATGACCCATCCCAAGTGGCCCAACTTTTTGGAATAAATGTTAGTGACAGCCTTTGTATAATGTTAGTGGTAAACAACAGATATTCTCTCTCTTTTCACATAGGCACAGGAGTCACAAAATAGAATCGTAGAATCGTAGAATCATGAAGGTTGGAAAAGACCTCCAAGATCATCAAGTCCAAATGTCACTCCAGCACCCCCATGCCTGCTAAACCATGTCCCCAAGTGCCACATCCACACGGTTTTTGAACCCCTCCAGGGATGGGGACTTCACACTGCCCTGGGCAGCCTGGTCCCATGTCTGACCACTCTCTCAGGAAATAAATTTTTCCTGATATCCAATCTAAACCTCCCCTGATGCAACTTGAGGCCATTTCCTCTCGTCCTATCGCTATTTACAACACCCACCTCACTACAACCTCCCTTCAGGCAGTTGTAGAGAGCGAGAAGGTCTCCCCTCAACCTACTCTTCTCCACCTTGACACGCCCCAGCTCCCTCAGCCGCTCCCCATCAGACTGGTTCTCCAGACCCCTCCCCAGCCTCGCTGACCTTCTCTGGACATGCTCCAGCCCCTCCATGTCCTGCTTGTAGTGAGGGGACCAAAACTGAACACAGGATTCAAGGTGTGGTCTCACCAGTGCTGAGTACAGGGGGATGGCCCTTGTTCCGCTGGCCACACTGATATTGATGATTAATTAACCTAAAAAACTGCAAAAAATAGGGTGTCCAGCAGGGATCACTGGAGAAACACAAGAACTCCCAGTAGCCAGGAAAGGGTCGGACTCAATGATCTTTAAAGGTTCCTTCCAACACAAACCATTCTATGATTCTAGCTAAGCCCAGTGACGGTCCCGGGGCTCTCTGGATGGCAGCAGGGCCCTGCCCCGGTGCCTACAAAGCCTGGCAAAGGACCTGGGGCACTCTGGAGGGCTGCAGCCCCCTGAGGCTTAGGGCAAAGCCTGGGATGGCTCTGGGCTCTCTGGAGAGAAGCAGAGCGTTGCCTGCATCCCAGCAAAGCCCAGAGAAAGCTCCAGGGCTTTCTGGAGAGAAGCAGAACCTTTCCCAGGCCCCAGCAGAAGCCTGGCAAAAGCCCCAGGTCTCTCTGTAGGACATCAGGACCCCGCACTCATCAAATCTGTATCACTCCAATTCAGCTCCAAGAATGTGTTGGGGGACTGTGTCAAAAGCCTTAGAGTAGTCCAGGTAGAGGATATCCGTAGCTCTTCCCCTGTCCACTGGTGCAGTCACTCCATTGTGGAAGGCCACTAGATCTCTGAGGCATGGGTCTGCCCTTGGTGAGGCCACGTTGGCATTCCCTCAGCACTCCCGTGTCTGCGAGCTTGCAGCATGGTGGTTGAGAACAGAGAGTCACTTCTCAGGGCAGGTCTGTCCCTGTTCCATTTAATCCCTGTCCTGAAGCTGCTGGCTTTGCAAAGGGTGGGTGTGCTGCAGAACAGCCCTCGGAGGCTGCGTGCAGACGGAGTTGCTGCAGCATCCCTGGGCGATTCATCCTTGGTGTTAACCTTAAAGGTGCAAATGTTGCATTGGGGCGGGAGTGGGAGTGAAGAGCCCCCGGGTGCCTGCCCTCCCACACCCCACAGCAGCCGCAGTGAAGGGTGTGCTTTTTAATGTCAGTTATAATAAAATATTTTTACAGAGCCCAAAAAATTCAAAATAGTGCAAAACATCTCACTGTCATGCATCCATGGTAGCCGCCGCCGGCGGTGCCGCACGGGGTGGTACAGACACACAGGCATCGGTGACACGTGTGCTACAGGAGCAGAATTGGTCGGTTCAATCACATGCCGAACAGGACAGTTTTGGGGAGGGGGCACGGGGCCAGGGGCACCACGGCCAGAAGGTGCGGGGCTGAGCCCCAGCCTGGCCGTGCGGGAGCAGCAGTTAGAAAAGGGGTGTAAACATTGAACGGAAACAAGAGGAAAGCTAAACCCTTTGGTCCCAGGCAAACCCTATAGAAAAAGGACCATGGGGGCCAGTCGGGATACCCTGTTTTGGGATGGGGAGGGGGCTGAGAGAGGTATATTGACTTGTGGGGTCATCAGGCCTCTGTCTTCCCCAGTACTTAGGGGCAAGCTGGCCAGCTGGGGTAGCCACCCCTGACACCGCACACCCTGGCCTCCCGGGCACTCGCACGAGACACGCACACACCACTGATCACGCAGAAATGGTGATTAATGGGAAACTGGGGAGGGGAGGGGCCTGAGGGTTGGGGGTGGGAAGGGTCTTGCTTGTGTCAAGGAGGTCCCGCACTGCGCTGCACAGGGATGCCCAATCCCCACTGGGCAGAGCAAGGGGAGACGGGTCCCTCTGCTGCGGTGCCATGCTGCATCCCCCGACCCAGCAGCCCCAATAGCCCTTCCGGGTGCAGGACACAGCCGGGATCCGGCTGCCCCGTGTATGTACAGCTATTTACATATGTACAGGGTGCTCAGCGAGTGGGAGCCTCCCTGTCCCTCAGGGCGCCTGGCAATTCTCGAGGGATGGGGACAAGGGGCCACCATCCTGTGCCAGCCACTCACCAAGACCCTCGGGCAGGGTGAGACATCACCCCCACCACCCACCACCCCTTTCCTTGCATCGCTCAGTAAGGTTTGGGGCTGGGTAGGATGGGGTAGGGTTGGGGATAGGCCATTGGGGTTCCTCCATCTCAGACAGGCTGGGAAGGGGCAGATCTGTCCCATTGCCCAGTCTGGGGTCCAGCCCTTCCCTGCAGACCCACCAGCCCCAGCACCTTCCTGTCGGGGTTGGACAGGGGCATGACTATGCTCTGCACCCCTGTCACCCAGTCAGTCTGGCCAAAGGAGGGACAGGGGGTTCTGTCACAGCAGCCACATCCCCGCCCACCTCACCAGGGCTGGGAAGGAGACTTCTCTTGTGGCCGCTCTTATGGCTTGTACAAGGCTGGAGGACGCTGTAGAAACGGGGCCAGGAGGAGGGGGAGAGGGCTGAGGGGTGGAAGGGGTTTAACTGCTGCCCTCCTCAGCCGAGCGCGTGTCCGACTTGAGCTTGACGAATTCCTTGGCCACCTCGTCATTGTTGCGTTGGGAGAGGATGCGGAGGACGGTGAGGCCGGTGTCATCCATGTGGATGCGGCGGCCCAGGGGCAGCCAGCAGGCACAGCCGGGTCGCTGCAGGATGTCGCGGAGCTGCAGCACAGCGATGCCCACTGTCCGGTCCTCCCGGGCGAAGCAGTAATCCTTCACGCACACCTGCAGCTCATAGCACTCGGGGCCCGTCTCCGTCCCCAGCGTGCTGAGGGGGCAAGGGACAGGCAGTGTTGGCATAGGGGGTCCACACTGCCCCTAAAAGAGCCTTTTGTTTTTTTCCTTTCCCCAATCCCTGCATTTACCAGTGAAAAAACACCTAAAACATTCCCTGGGGGACAAGCAAACTCACCGGCAGACCCAGTAGAAGGGGGTCCCCACATCGTTGGGAGATACCTCCCAGCCCAGCCCCACATCCCCAGCCCCACTCACAACTGGAAGCTCTCGTTGTACTTGGGGGCCCAGCTGTTGTTCTTGGATTTGGTGGCAAATTTCCTCTTCTTGTCACTGAGGTGGGGCCCAATGATGTTGACTTCGATGAAGGGCCGGAAGATGCCCGATGTTTGCCACTTGAGGTCATTTGCAGCCACCACTGCGAGGAGGGGACACGTGAGGCTCGCGGGGCACTGCCAGAGCCCAGCACCCCCGCCAGCAGAACCCACCTTTGACGGTGACTTTGTGTTCACCCGTGCCGGGGTGGGTGAAGAGCTCCACGTGGATGGACACCTCCCCGACAGGGTCATCCACACCACAGCCTGCGTGGCAAAAGGAGGAGACATGAGTGCCTGTTCCCCCATGTCCCCGACATCCCCTGGCCACCACCAACCCCACTGCAGGAGGCAGGTCACCCGCCATGGGGCGGGAAGGGGTCAGCAGGAGGATCTGGCTCAGTGTGGCCTCTACCCAAGAGTTCTGAGGACAGCAGCAAGAGTGCAGCATCTGTCAAGGATGGCTGGGGCTGGTACCAGGCCAGGCTGGGGCATGGCGGGACATCCCCAGCACCAGGCTGGCTCTCTGTCGTCCCACCCCAATCGACAGTGCCCAGGCAGGGGCCGAGGTGTCTGGGTGGGATGGGGAAGGGGACAGTGGCCCCTCTCCCCTGGCCACAGGCACGGGGCGGGTGTCAGTGCTCCATGCGTGGCTCTGAGCACGGCACGGGCAGGAGGGACCCAATCCGGCTCTTGGCAGGCATGGCCTGGCCAGGGGCTTGGGGCGGACCTGTCCCCTCTTGTGTCACCTCCCTCTCAGGGCCCACAGCAAGCTCTGGGGTTCGCGAGCCCAGGGACCTCGGGTGACCTGCGACCAACAGCCCCAGCCCACCCCCTCCCCGCTGAGAGCTGTGCATGCACCCATGGGTAAAGGAGGGGGTGCAAGGCAGAGGGAAAGGCTCCACGGGGCAGACGGGGCCCAGGAGATCGAACCGAGCTCAGCGGAAAGCTCCCAGGGTGGCAGTAACCGTGCGCAGGAGGACACGTCCCCATGTGCCACTGCATGGCCCCCAGCACGGGGCTGCCAGGCCAGGCGGGAGGCTGGTGGTGACACGCTCTCCTCTCCATCCGTCTTCACCCTCCACCCCACTCCCGGCACCCCATTCCCCAGGCACCCGGCACCCGGGCAGTGCCGCATGCTGAGCCAAAACGGAGGCGATGGTGGGCGAGGAGGGGGTGTCCGGGTGCAGGAGGCCAAGCAGGGGTTGCGGTCCCGGCCCCTCTGGCAGGGTGCAATGGAGGCCAAGCGGGGCCCATGGAGCTGCACTCATTCCTCACGCCCTGGGGCAGGCGGACAGAGCTCGCCGGAGCAAGGCTAGTAATGGTCCTTCTGGCAGCAGAGTGGGTGGGAGGGGGACACGGAGGTGGTCATGGCCTCCCGCGGAGCCATGTGTCCCAAGGGGACAGCTCCCCGGCTTGCAGGGAGGGGATAGAAGGTGCCCACCCCCAGGCAGCAGCAATGGGGACAACACAGGGTGCCCAGAGCTTGCAAGCGGAGGTGGGAACCCCTATCCCCATGGGCACATCCCCCCTCCCTGGTCTGGGGTGATGGTCAATACGGCTGAGCACCGTTCCTCCAAATTCAGCCCAAAGCAGCCCTGGGCGTGTGAGTCTGTGAGCAGAGGGCTCCAGCTCTGCCCATGCTACGTGTCCCCAAGGCCGGCGGTGCTGGGACAGGGCTCCCGGCCACCCCAGCCCGCGGTGCTGGGACTGTTACTAGCCCAGGCCGGCGGCAGGCAGGAGCAGGGGCAGGCGCGCAGCACACGTACCCTTCTCAGGATAAATTTCTTCACTAAGGGTAAACCTAATACCTTTCCCACCATGAACTAGTGGGAAGGAGAGAGAAACAGACAGAGACACAGCACAGAGTAGACGAAGAGAGGAGGAAGGAGACGATGTGCACGGGGGACAGGAACAGTGAAAGAGGGGGGAGAAAACAAAGAGAGAGAAAGAGAGATCAGATCTCGCAGACAGACGGACGGCTGAGCATCCGGACAACACTGCAGCGACACGGGAGTGCTGGGCACCACCCCGCTCTGAGCCCAGGGGGTCCTGGGGCCAGACTGCACCCAGGGGTGCTGGCACCCACCAGACCCAACCCCACGTCCCTGACATGGCTGGCACAGGAGGCACAGACAGGACACACGTCCCTTGCAGGAGACGCACAGACAGCAAACGCACGTCCCACTCTGAGGATGCAGACGAGCCTGGCTGGGGCACCATGCGACGGCCCACGACCACCACCGAGCATCTCTGCCCCCTCCTCGAGAACCAAGGGACAAAATACAGGGCAGGATTTAGAGCCAAGGGGTAGCCCTGCCCCGGAGGGTGCCAGCTCTCTGCAGCACACGGCTGTGGGACGAGGCCAGTGCCCGAGAAGCACCCATCACCCTGGACAGACCCCAAAGTGTGGGGTACGTGGGGAGCCCAGTGCACCCCCTGGCACAGCATCTGGATCCAGCCGATTCTGCCACACGTCCAAGCCCCGGCCAGGCTGGCACTGCTCGGCTGAGACTGGGAACACTGGACCAGAGGTGCCTGTGCCAGGTGACAGGGGCTATCCAGAGGGGACAAACACCATCACACGTGGTCAGGGGGTGACTGGGTGACCTTCTCCCCCACCCACGGGCCCCATTTCCGTGCCAGCCCACCCATGTCCTGGCACTGGGGACATGCTTTTCTTGCTGGTGGGGGACTTCAGGCTGCCAGGCTGCCTCCGGGCACCCACGGCCCCTCTTCACCTGCAAATCATGGGAGGAAGAAGCCCTTCCCTCTCCACCCGTAACTCCATGAGCCTGGCTGGGACCCCCAACCCCACCAGGACAGAGGCAGGGTGGGGCCCTGGCCGTGGGGCAGCCGAGCCCGTGGCGGGGGGGGGGGCCGGGGGGGGGGGGAAAGGGGGGGGTGGCGGGGGGGCAGCCGAGCCCGTGGCGGGGGAGGGGGCCAGGGTGGGGGGCAAAGGCAGTGCATCCTACCCTGCGAAGCCTGGGTCTGCACAAAGGTTTTGATGAGGAGGTCAGTGGCCTGGGTGTAGAGGGACAGGGCATAGCGCAGCGACTGCAGGTCGGGGCTCTTCTCCAGGAACGTCTTCTTCAGGCCCACGCCGCCCGCGTGGAAGTATTGCTGGAGGGGGGAGAGAGCTGCAGGGTCCTCAGCAGCTCCGCTAGAGGTCCCCCAGTGTCCCCCCAGGTCTGTGCCTCGGGACTGGGAGCCCTCAGGGTCACCCCTTCTTACCCCAGAGTGCCCTCACCTTGATGGTGTCCAGCGCCAGCTCCACCACCGCACACTGCTTTGGGGTCAGGCTCTTGGCTTCCTCCCGCACCATGTGGTCCTGCCGGGCACGAATCCTGCTCTCAGCACGGGACCAGGGCCCGCTCCCCTCGCCCCAGCCATGCCAGCGAACGAACACTGCTGGCTCCTTGCTACAGGGCCAGCACCTTGCACAGAGAGGAGCTCAGACCGCCCGGCCCCCCCGGCTCAGCCCCCCAGCCCTCACCTTCAGCTTGGAGAGCTGCCCCAGCTCCTTGGCTGCGTTGAAAATCATCTGCGTGCCCTGCGGAGAGCAAAGAAGAGGGGGGGGTCCTCAGAGAGCCCAGGGACCACGAGCCATGCCAGGCATGGTGCTGCAGGCACAGGGAGCTGGTGCAGACCCCGTGCCAGCCCCTGAGCTCTCAGCAGAGGTGTGTGGCTGGGAGACTGGCGACTCAGGGCAGGACATCACCCTGGCATCAGGGGCCTCGCGCCCTGCTCAGCACAGGCAGCTTGGCCTAAGGGTCCCATCCTGTTCCCTGTGGTGCCCAAGCACCCGCCTGTGCATCTGGCAGAGCCCAGCACAGCACATCACTGGCACCGCATGGACAATCGTACGACGTCGGGGCGAGGGGAGCAGAGAGCGAGTGCAGGGGGACAGCGGGCATGGGGAGGATGCGGCGTGGTCCCCCTGTACCCCACAGTGCTGGCAGCCAAGACAAACACCCCCCTGCCACCCAGACCCCTGCCCATGCTGAGTCCCAGGGAGGTTCCCAGCCCCTTTGCACCCCAGGGAAGACGGCAGATGGGAGCCCCTGGCTGCCCTCGCCTCCCCCGTGCTGTGCCACCC